TCACAACCATCCATAATGGGGTCTGGTGCCCTCTTCTGGCTACAGGTATACATCCTGATAAAATATTGTATACATAATGAATAAATAAATATAAAAAATAAATTAAAAAAAGAAATGGTATCTTCTTTGACAAGAGGTTGAAGATAAAATATGAGGCTGGGAAGGAGGGTGGATGCTATGAAATCTTCCTGCCAATATGACATGGATATTGAACACACACATGGATATATGATATAAACAAGTATGTATAAATGGGCAATTGTGAAAACAAGGAAGAAAAAAAAATCTGATAAAACTTGCTACTCCATGAATTGATCACCAGAAATAGATACAAATAAAAAAATCTCTGTGCACCTTGCAAACATGTATAGATATTGTGGAAGACTCCTGAAAATGTTTCAAAAACCTCATTCTAAGTTACTTTGGCACAATTTTACATGTCTTATTGGTGTGGGAAAATGGTCTGTATTCTGTCAACTATATTTAAAATAACACTGATTGGCCAGTAGCCAGGCAGGAGGTATAGGTGGGACACCCAGACAGGAAGTAGAGGTGGACCAATGAGAACAGAATTCTGGGAAGAAGGAAGTCCTAGGCTGCAGTCATGACCCAGTCACAGAAGTAAGATGTGACTGCCTCACTGACTAAGGTACCGAGCCACGTGGTTAGCATAGACAAGAATAATGAACTAATATAAGTTATGAGAGTTAATAAGAAGCCTGAGCTAATGGGCCAGTCAGGTTATAACTAATGTAGACCTCTGTTTGATTTCTTTGGGACTTAATGATGCAGAAACGGGGCAGAACAAAAACCTCAGACAACAGAACGGCGTGCTAACATGGAGCTGACCACATAAAAACCTGAGAGAACTTGGAAAGTTATTCTAGATAGAAAAAAAATAGAGTTAAGCACAGCTTCTACTTTTTCTTATTGATATTTATTGAGCTCTACATTTTTCTCTGCTCCCCTTCCTTTGTCTCCCCTCCCCCATTCAATCCTCCCACAAGGTCCCCATGCTTCCAATTTACTCAGGTGATTTGTCTTTTTCTACTTTCTACTTCCCATGTAGATTAGATCTATCTAAGTTTCTCTTAGTGTCTACATTGTTGTCTAAGTTCTCTGGAATTGTGGTTTGTAGGCTGGCTTTCTTTGATTTATGTTTAAAAACCACCAATGAGTGAGTCCATGTGATAATTGTCTTTCTGTGTCTGGGTTACCTCACTCAATATAATGTTTTCTAGCTCCATTCATTTACCTGTAAAATTCAAGCTGTCGCTATTTTTTTCTGTTGTGTAGTACTCCATTGTGCAAATGTACCACATTTTTCTTATCCAGTCTTTCATTGAGGGGCATTTAGGTTGTTTCCAGGCTCTGGCTATGACAAACAAAGCTGTTATGAACATAGTTGAGCACATGTCCTTGTGGCACGAATGACTGAGCATCCTTTGGATATATACCCAAAAGTGGTATTGCTGGGTCTTGAGGAAGGTTGCTTCCGAATTTTCTGAGAAATCGTCACACTGACATCCAAAGGGGCTGTACCAGGTGGCATTCCCACCAGCAATGCAGGAGTGTTCCCTTTTCCCCACAACCTCTCCAGCATAAGTTGTCATCAGTGTTTTTGATCTTGGCCATTCTTACAGGTGTAAGATGGAATCTCAGAGTTGTTTTGATTTGCATTTCTCTGATGACTAAGGATGTTGAGCATTTCCTTAAGTGTCTTTCAACCATTTGAGATTCCTCTGTTGAGAGTTCTCTGTTTAGGTCTGTACTACTTTTTTTTAAAAATTGGATTATGTGATCCTTTGGTGTCAAATTTCTTGAGTTCTTTGTGTATTGTGGAGATCAGATCTCTGTCTGATGTGGGGTTAGTAAAGATCTTTTCCCATTCTGTAGGCTGTCGTTTTGTCTTGCTGACCGTGTCCTTTGCTTTACAGAAGCTTTTCAGTTTCAGGAGGTCCCATTTATTCATTGTTTCTCTCAGTGTCTGTGCTGCTGGGGTTATATTTAGGAAGTGGCTCCCTGTGCCAATGCGTTCAAGTGTATTTCCCACTTTCTCTTCTATAAGGTTCAGTGTAGCTGGCTTTATGTTTTATGAATCGAACATTTTCACTTGAGTTTTGTGCATGGTGATAGATATGGGTCTATTTTCATTCTTTGACATGTTGATATCCAGTTATGCCAGCACCACTTGTTAAATATGCTTTCTTTTTTCCATTTGATATTTTTTGCTTCTTTGTCAAAGATCAGGTATTCGAAGATGTGTGGATTTATATCTTGGTCTTCTATTCAGTTCCATTGGTCCTCCTGTCTGTTCTTATGCCAATACCAGGCTGTTTTCAGTACTGTGACTCTGTAGTAGAATTTGAAGTCAGGGATTGTGATGCCTCCAGAAGTTCTTTTATTGTACAGGATTGTTTTGGCTATCCAGGGCTTTTTGTTTTTCCAGATGAAGTTGAGTACCATCCTTTCAAGGTCTTTGAAGAATTTTGCTGGGATTTTGATGGGCTAAGCATGGCTTCTTGATAGCAGCAATTTCTCGGGTTTGCTCTGCTTGCTCGAGGCAAGTGCACCTCATTTAAGAGAGGCTTCCTGACTCAGCTTTAGCTGCAAAACCTTGCAGCTCTTTTAAGAGATCCTGCCAGGAAACACTCGAATGGTATTGTAGAAAAGCTGACTGCTCGCTTTTTGGTGGTGTCAAGGACCTTGAAACACCACTGAGTTGTGACAATAAACAAGGCTCCAGCTGGTAGCTCTGCCCTGAGGCTGGAATCTCAGAAATCTAAGGAATGGGCTGGATCCGTCTCTCAAAGTCACTGCTTTAATCCTAGCCATATTGCTTAGAAAATTAAAGACTCATGTGGTCAGAAAAAGAGAGATGTATAGTAAAGAGAGATTCAAAGGCAAAGATAACCTCTAAATGGTTTACAGTGTGTTAAAAACTATATGCAGGCTTGGGAGAAAAAAAGAAAAAGGTTAAAGTCCTTAAAATAAGAAAGAGAGTAGTTGGGTGTGGTGGTACACACATTTAATGTCAACACTTGGGAGACAGAGGCAGACAGACCTCTGTGAGTTCAAGGTATGGTGGCACACACCTTAACCCCAGTACTTGGGAGGCAGAGGCAGGTGGATCTCTGTGAGTTCAAGGACAACCTGGTCTACAGAGTGCATTCCAGGACAAAAGTACACAGAGAAACCCTGTCTCAAAAAGCCAAAAATTAAAAATAAAAATGAAAGAAATGAGGTTAAAATAAAGCCACGTAAAGATGAAAAGTACACAGAGAATCTGGATACTGTATGCTATTTTATTCTCTTTTAATTGTTTGAGGAAGGATCAACAGCTGCCAAAGATATTTGTTTATAAGTGTTGCTGAATTAAACAAAGATAGGTATTTTGAAAATACCGAGTTCAAAATTGAAGTCAAAAGATATGTTACTTCGGAGAAGAGGTTTTGCTTTTGTTTCCACAGAAAATGAGAGGCTGTGGATTTATTCTGAATTAAGAAAAATCAGGTTTGATCAAGGAAGACCACCTAAAAAGTCTCTGGTAGGAACAGATGGCCCAGATGTCAGAGTTCTACATCCAGAACAGATTCAAGACTGATGCTTGAGATGATCAAGACTCACAGGATACTCCAGTCAGGACTTGATCATAATTCTAAATTTTCTTTAGGTCTTCATAAGATTATCAGTGCCCCCAACAAGCAGGAAGTAGCCTGGAAAACTATACCCACCTTCCCCAAAAATGGACTATGGATACTTTGCTTAGAATGTTGGTTACAAGTTGTTATGGTTAATGGTCAGGAGAAAAGCTAAACAAAGAATATTAGATTCAGAGTTTTTTTTTTTTAAAAGAGAGGGAAGTGATGTGGGACAGTGGTCTATATCCTGTCAATTATATTTTAAAGTAATGCTGATTGGCCAGTAGCCAGGCAGGAAGTATACGTGGGACATCCAAACAGAAAGTAGAGGCGAGTCAATGAGAACAGGAGAATTCTGGGAAGAAGGAAGCCCTAGACTGCAGAAGAAGTAATATGTGACTGCCTCGCTGAATAAAGTAACGAGCCACGTGGCTAACATAGTCAAGAATAATGGGCTAATATAAGTTATGAGAGTTAATAAGAAGTCTGAGCTAATGGGTCAATCAGTTTATAAATAATGTAGACGTCTGTGTAATTTCTTTGGGACTTAGCGATTGCGGGAACCGGGCAGGACAGAAACCTTAGTCAGCATCTTCTCACCTTTCATTCTTAGCTCTTCTATATCAGATTTTTTAAGTAAAAAGATGTACATTAACTGGAGTATCAAAATAGGAATTATGGGAAGCTTCTTACCTACTTCACAGATACTTCAGAATATATAAGAACATTTCATAAGAATTTAATGCATAGATCTAGAAAACATACTGAGTGAGGTAACCCTGACCCTGAAAGACACTATCATATGAACTCATAAGAGCTTTTAGACATAAAACAAAGAAAACCAGTCTACAATTCACAATCTAGAGAACCTAGACAACAATGAGGACCCTAAGAGAGACACACATGGATCTAATATACGTGGGAAGTAGGAAAAGACAAAATCAACTGAGTAAATTGGGAGCATGGGGACCATAGGGACCATGGGAGAGGGTTAAAGTGGAGGGGAGAGAAAAGGAGGTGAGCAGAGAAAAATGTATAGCTCAATAAAATCAATAAAACAGGAATAAATAGCAAAAAAGATTTATCAAAACGTATTGTGATTATATACTACATGCTTCTAGAACAATGCCTAAGGTTGGAACCTACTGAAGTCATCTTTTTCATTAAAAGAAGTCAAAAATACATGCTTCACTCTAAATTTCAAAATCACAAATTATTGCAGGTTGTCATTGACACAAAATGATTCAGATGCACAAGGCAGTCAGAGCGATATTGTTTCTCAAAGAGCTCTCAGCCCAGGCTGTCAATTAGGACCCTGGTGCCTTTGATAAAATGTTTTCACTTGTGCTTTATCCACAGGATACGTCTGATCGTCTAAGTAGCGACCTCTATGTCTTAACGAACATTTCCAGTTAAAACACGGTGAGGCTCATAATCAATCTTAAGGGTTTCTGATGGGCAGTGAGCCCAGCTTTGTTTCCCAGTTTCTGCTTTGCCTGGTTTGGGTGGAATAGCTAAGTACAGCCCAAACGTTCACTGCAGATCTTGAAAACAGAGCAGACAACCTGGACTCAGCAAGAAAGAAACTCAACATTTTCATCTCTATGTACAAGCTTAGGTTCTTGAGTATCAATATAACAAAACCAGGAGGGAGTTCTCTCCTGCTCTCTGACGCTCTGCAGACTGTGGGTGTTGCTGGTAGCAGGTGAATCACATTTTGTGAAAACCTTTAAAAGAAACTGCCCCTCCCCCGAGATTCTAAGAGATAGTACAGCAAGCCACTGTCCCTCAGACAAATACTCATAAAAGAGCCATGAGAAGAGATGGCTGATTCTGTGGTTGTCTCGGTTTCTTCTGTAAAGGTTCTCTAATTGCATTGCATACCTTTACTTCTCTTTCTCATTGTTTTGCATAAGGTGTTTACTTCCAGTGGCCTTTGCTTGTCTCTTCTTCCCATGAGTGTCACGATTGAGTACAGAGTGAGGGCTTTTCTTCTTTCTGCTCTTCCTTTCCAGCTCGTTTTTATCAGGACACATTCTCATTTAACTGATGTTGTTCATCACTGAGGTTTCCATTGTGACAGATGAATACTGAAGCTTGCCAATGCCCAGTTCCTACAGAGACCAGCTCATGGCCTCATATCAAAAGGAAATGCTAACGTATCGCATGGATTCCATCTGAGAGATCTGTTGCTTTATTGACTTTTGAAAGTGTACATTCAAATATATGGAATGCATTCCTAGCATAATACATATATTTTTGATTAAGTAGAATTATAAGTTGTATACTTTCCTGGATCCCAAACATAAGTATATAAACATTTAGGAGTCTAGAATATGGCAGATATATGTATTTTACAGGTATGTTCACATTATAATTGGTTTCTTTCTGGGAAAGTCACTGTCACAGCAGTTTGTGGCCATCTGTCATCACTTTACCTTAATGCATTGATGCTGACTTCATCCACCTGCACTGATGCTCCATGACAAGGTTACCACTCCAGAGATCACTATTTTCTCCTTTCGGTTCCCAGTTTTGTATAGAGTGCTGCATTCTCTAACCAGGCTGGACTGGAGATCACTGTAGCTGTTGGATTCTGTTATAAGAAATACTTATTTTGGAGTGTTGAATAAATGATGTGCATCAGCCATCTCATCCTATGCAGAAACTGAACTGTCCCCTGATTATTTTTGCTTTGTTCCACTGCATTAGAGAACCAGGATCCCCCCACCCTGCAACCTTTACCCCAGAGTCTCAGTGGTTTATAGTGGAGATTCAGAAAAATAGGTGTTTTAAAATAGTGTTATGTTTATTATTTTTCCTTTTATTGAAAAGTTTTTTTCCTGTTATATTCTGATTACATTTTTCCTACCTCTACTACTCAGTTTCTTCCCACCTCCTTTCACATCCAAATTCACCTGCTTGAAGTCTCTCATTAGAAATTAAACAGATTTCTAGGGGATAATGATAAAAGATAATATAATAATATGGTATAATAAATTTGATATGTATCACAAGGTAAGATATGATATAATAATATAATGAGATAAAACCAAAGCTAGCATTATAATAAGACAAAACAAAAGAGCAAAAATCAAAGAGTTCTGGAAAAGTCAAATTAAACAGATATAGACGCAGAGACTGTGTTGTTAGATAATCAGAAGTTCCATTAAAAAACTTAACTGGAAATGATAATATACAAACAGATGACATACAGTGTAAAAAGAAGGAATAAGAAAATATAAATAAAGTAAAATAAGCCATATGAAAATATGAGGAAAAACTAAAATCATGGTAAAGCCCTGACCTAACGTCATGAGACAAAGAATCATCAAAGACTGTTGAGTTGTTTATGTTGGCTGTCCCCTGAGAAGCGTTCAGCTTACCTTCAAGAGTAATTTGATTCCCCAGTGAGTCGCCCTGGAGAAAAGTAAATTTTTATTTACAAGTGGTTATCAGTTATGAAAATACTTCTTGATTTGGGATTGAGTTATGTGTCCACTTCTCCTTCAACTCTATGCCGCCATCTGGTGTAGACTTGTGGAAAATCTGTGCATTTTCCTCGGCTTTAAGTCCCCTAGGGATAAAAGCTTCTTCTTTGCTTTTATTATTACTATTATTACTATTATTGTTATTGTTGTTGTTGTTGTTGGTTTTTTATTATTATTGTTTGGTTTTTCAAGACAGGATTTCTCTGGATAACAGCCCTAGCTGTCCTGGAACTAGCTCTTTTAGACCAGGCTGGCCTTGAACTCACAGAGATCCGCCTGCCTCTGCCTCCCAAGTGCCGGGATTAAAGGTATGTGCCACCACTGCCTGGCTATTTTATTATTCGTTTTGCCTTGTTCTACTCAATTCTTTGTGTCTTGTTCTTCTATTTCAATGTTTCTCTTTTTCTACTTTCCTGATGACTTCTTTTCCATCTGTCTTGGTTTCTTCCTTCTACACTTTTCCTTCTGCATCTTTCCTAATGTATTCTGTCTCTCATCTCTTATTTTTTTTCCTTACAGCTTATATACCTGAGCAGAATTTTTGAAGCAGTATAAAAGTTAGACCGTGATTGCATTTTGCTTTTTAAGTGAATGATTGCAATGAATACAAGTAAAAAAAAAAACCAAAATATTTTATATCCCTTACATGAATAAATATTGTCCATATTACAGGTGAAAAATAAGACCGTTTATATAGGGAGTAGTTTTTATAATTGCCAGAAAAATGGGCTACTCTAAACTATGAAAAGTGAAACAAGTCTTTGTAAGTTTATAAATGCTTCAGTAATGTTGATTTAGAGAGCCTGGTTTTCTTGGTGTCCTCCATCCCCTCTGGCTCTCACACCCTTTTTGCCTACTATTCCAGTGTCCTTGGCCCCTGAATGGAGGCATTTGATGGAGACATCATGTATTGTACTGAGTGTTGATTGTTCCCTTGCTCTCTGCATATTGTTTGCATGTGGTTCCTGTATTTGATCCCATCTGCTACAGGAGGAAGCTTCTCTGAAGATCATTGAGCAGTACTGTGATCTAGGCGTACAGTGTAATGCCATTAGGGGTCATTTTAGTGCTAGTTTTGTTGTTGTTTGGTTTTAGTATCGGTCCCTAGGATGTATAATCTCAGGAAATCGCTCACCCAAGCACTGTTACCTATGGGTTCCATCCTGTGGAGTGGGTCTTATTTCAAATCAGGTCCAAGCTGGTTACACCCACAAGTAAGTAAATTAATTAGTTAGTTAGTTTGCTTGTTTATTTATTTAACCATCATTGCATTGGCATTTTTTGGAAGTAGAGCATCATTTTAGATCGCAAGGTTTGTGGCAGGCTGTGTGTTTATGATCTCATTTGATAGTGTACAGAATACGTTCCTCTTGCAAAAATGTCATCAGGTAATGGTGGGTGGTGGTGGGTAGGCGGCAGCTCCACTTCTTCTTTAATGGGTTGTGTGCATGTCATCTAGTGCTGTTGAGTAAGGTTATTTTTGCCATACTCTTCTCTATTATGGTTCAGAGGTAGCCTGAGCTGGTTGCTCCTTCCTTTGGAAGCTAGTATGGAGAGGTTTGGTTCCATGAAAGGTACTCCTCAGGGAAGAGGTCAGTTTCAGCACGGGGGACTCATTTTGTGCCTGGAATATATATTGTTTTCATCAATAGTGATTTTAATCCCATATCTATGGGTCGGCCAAGTGAAACTGCAAAAACCTATAACGTGCTGGAATTCTCTTGGACAACTGTGACCAACAACTCAATATAGGGATTCTCATGCCTTCTTTTGGGTATTTGGTAGGTGGTGTTTGGCTCTTGGAAGAAACATTGTCAGCACAAATGAGTATATATTTATACACAGACATACAGTATATTTTAGGTATATAGATATAGTTTAACTGATTATTATAAATTTTTCATTCATCCTTACCATTATTTTTACTCTTTTTTATCTTCAATATAATCTCCCTCTCCCTTCAGTATTACCACTCGCTAATTAGATTACTTTTACCCTGTTATTTCACTATCTCTGCTTCCTTACCCTCTCACCCTGGGAATGAAACCTTTTTACTTTCCTGCTTTCTTAAGTTACTCTGGAATGTTTACTCGCATTGAAGATTTGTACCTATAAACCCATAATAAGGGGGTACATAAAATGTCTCTCTTTCTCAGTCTGGGTGACCGCACTTAGTAAGATCTTATCTAGTTCCATCCATTTACCTGAAAAGTTTAAGATCTTATTTTCCTTTATGGATGAAAAATTTCTTATTATGTATATACCACAATTTTATTGGCCATTTTGTCAGTTGAAGAACATTTAGGTTGTTTCTGGTTTTTTTTTTTTGAGTAAAGTAGCAATGAACATAGCTAATCCAGTATCTGTGCATTAGGAGATGGAGTCCTTTTTGTATAGGCCAAGAAATTATATCGCTGGGACATATGGTACATTCATTGTTAGACTTTTGAGAATTTTCCACAGCTTTCCACATAATACTTTCACCAATTATCTATTCTGACTAGCAATGAGTTAGGGCTCCTTGTCCTTCATACCCCTCCATCAACTGTGGCCATAGGTGAACTCTCAAATTTATTTTGATTTGCAATCCCTTATTGCCAGGCACAATGAACATACTGAGATACTTTTAGTTATTTTTCCTTCCTTTATGTACACTGTGTTCAGATCACAGGGTCCTTTTTTTTTTGAATGACTCAGCTTTGTTTTGGTTTTTAAATTTTGGATATGAACCCTCAGTTAGGGGTATATCTGATAGAGATTTTCTTATATTCTGTGTGCTTCCTTTTTCTCTGATTGATTGTTTGCTTTAGCTGTTTATAAGCCTTTTTAAAATTTGTTTTTATTGGGTTATATATTTTTCTCCTCATCCCTCCCTTCCTCCCCTACCCCTTTTACTATCTCCCATGATCTCTAAACTCTCAATTTACTCAG